ATCCCATCATCCCAGCATCTCTGCATCCCATCATCCCTGCATCCCTGCATCCCAGCCTCCTAGCATCCCATCATCCCAGCATCTCAGCATCCCATCATCCCTGCATCCCTGCATCCCAGCCTCCTAGCATCCCACCCTCCCAGCATCCCCGCATCCCTGCATCCCTGCATCCCTGCATCCCTGCATCCCTGCATCGCAGCATCCCAGCACCGCAGCGCGACTGACCCGCTTCTTCGTAGCGGATGATTGATGTACGGATGCGGACACCGCTCCTGCTGCAGCTGCTCCTGGTCGCCCCCTTCATGACGGGAACCCTGACTCTTCCCAGGGCGGCATGAGCTTATCCTGCTGAGAGAAGCATTCGTGATGATCCTGCCGGGAACTTTCCCTCAACGCGATAGAGTGTCAGCGAATCGACTCGCTTTGTAATGATAGCTGTTTCTTTCTTTCTATCCCGAAAGAAAGAAAGAAAGAAAGAGAGAAAGAGAGAAGGGGAAGGGGACCTAAGGTTCAGGGGAAGGGGACCTAGAGTCCAGGGGAAGGGACCTAGGGTCCAAGGGAAAGGGACCTAGAGTCCAAAGGAAGGGGACCTAGAGTCCAGGGGAAGGGCACCTAAGGTTCAGGGGAAGGGGACCTAGAGTCCAGAGGCTACTTGTATCCACAGTTACTAGTAACTGTTCATGTCCTACGATAATGCTCCTAGCTGTTGTTGCACCTACAGTGCGTCAATTTCATTATTCTGAATGGAATGATTAGCTTTAACATAACATAAATCTAAGCTGATAAATGCTATTGTAATACGATTTCTCCTGATGCTATTATGTAAGGTGTGCTCGTACCTACACTGAAGTTTGCTCTCCTTTTTCGTCTAGGATATCCAAGAAGCTTCCGAGAAAAGTGCGAGACTTGAAGCTGCGGGCGATCAGTGACAATGAAGAAGAGAAAGAGAGAAAGTTGACATCTGTAACCACGTGTGTAATCACCGATCTCGTTCTCGTCGCCACGGCAGCGACGCGGCAGACAGCATCGTCGGCGGCGACGGCAAGCTGGAGGAGCTGCTCGTCTGCTCGCAGGAGATCGCTGCGAGCACGGCTCAGCTCGTCGTCGCGTCGAAGGTGAAGGCGAGCCGCGACAGCGAGCGACTCACTAACCTGTCGCGCGCGTCACACTCCGTCTCCCAGGCAACGGGTGGCGTCGTCGCCTCCGTGAAGACCGGCGCGAGGCTGATAGACGACCGAGGTACGACGTTTATGGCCCACGTTTTTTCGTGATTGTATATTTCAGCGAGTGCTGAGAACTTGTGATGGTTGGGATTTGGTGAGCCCTTCCTCGGTATGTCGGAAGGTTGGGGGGTAAGGCCAAGAACACCAGACTGTAGAACAACCAGTTGTGGAGATCACAATGAAGGTGTTGTTTGTCATGCGTTTTTGTTTTTCGCTGTGGTTCAGTTTTATCGGTACTCGGTCGCTACATCTGGAGGTAAAGCCAGCAATCACATAGCGGAACCCCTGACACTGCTGCTGAAGCACTGTGTTCTACTAAAAATCTTGTAAAGATTACAACCATATTGGTGATGTTTTCTGTGCAGTCTGTGTTTGACGTCTATAATGTTAATTCCTGCAGATATCATGGACTTCAGCAAGCTGTCGCTGCACCAGGCCAAGAGGCTGGAGATGGACTCGCAGGTGCGCGTGTTAGAGCTGGAGAATGCCGTAGTGAAGGAGCGCAAACAGCTGGCATCGCTACGCACGAAGCATTACCAGCTAGCCGGATCATCCGAGGGCTGGGACGAGGAGGTAGGCAAACCTAGACAACACCTAGCCACCTAAAGTCCAGGGGAAGGGGACCTAGAGCCCAGGGGAAGGTACCTAGAGTCCAAGGGAAAGGGACTTAGGGTTCAGGGGAAGGGGACCTAGAGCCCAGGGGAAGGTACCTAGAGTCCAAGAGAAAGGGACCTAGGGTTCAGGGGAAGGGGACCCAGAGTCCAGGGGAAGGGGACGTAGAGTCCAGGGGAAGGGGACTTAGGGTTCAGGGGAAGGGGACCTAAGGTTCAGGGGAAGGGACCTAGAGTCCAGGGGAAGGGGACCTAGGGTTCAGGGGAAGGGACCTAGAATCCCGGCAGAAGCGCGGACCCTAGGTGCCAAGGTGAAAGGGACCCCTAGCGGTTCACGCGGGAAGGACCTAGACGTCCATGGAAGGGCACCTACGGCGTCTAAGGCGAACAGGGACCTCAGGGTTCACGCGGAAGGGGACCTAGAGTCCAGGGGAAGGGAGACCTACGGGTCCAGGGAAAGGGACGCTAGAGTCCAAGGGAAGCCGGGGACCTAGAGTCCAGAGGAAAGCGGGAACTAAGCGTTCAGGACAGCGGGACCTAGCAGTCCAGGGAAAGGGGACCGGCACAGGTTCAGGCAAGGGCCGACCCTAGAGATCGCAGGGGAACGGTGACCTAGCGGTCGAAGGGACAAGGGAGCCTGAGAGTCCAAAGGAAGGGGACCCTACGAGTCCCAGGGGAACTCGGGGACCCTAACGTTCAGCGGGACAGGGACCTCAGAGTCCCTAAGAGGCTATCTTGTATCCACAGTTACTACGTAACGCCTGTCTCACTTCTCTACTATAGAATCGCTCCTAGCTGGTTTGTTGCACCTCACCACGCTGCGTCAATTTCATTATTCCTGAATGGACGACTGACTTAGCTTAACCACTAACTCCAACTAAATCTAAGCTCTGATAAATGCTATTTGTAAGCGATTTCTCCTCGATGCTATTATGTAAGGTGTGGCTCAGTGTCACCGTAACACTGAATAGTCTTGCTCTCCTTTTTCGTCTAAGGATATTCCCAGAAGCATCCGCGAGAAAAGCATGGCGAGACTTCGCAACCTGGCGGCCGACCTATCAGTGACTACATGAAGCAAGAGAAAGAGACGCAAAGAACACGAAAGAAAGAAAGAAAGAAAGAACAGAAAGAAAGAAAGAAAGAAAGAGAGAGAACGAGAGAGAGAGAGAGAGAAGAGAGAGAGAGAGCAACAGAGAGAGACGATAGAGAGAGGGCGAAAGAGAAAAAGTGAGACGAGAGCCAGACCGAGACACCGAGACAAAACAGACAGAGACGGACGAGAGAGAGAGAGGAGAGAGACGACGAGCCGAGAGCAGAGAGGAGAGAAGAGAGCCGCACGAGAGAGAGAGAGTAGAGCAGCACGCCAGCAGACGAGACGAGAGACGCGCCCAGAGACGAAGACGAGTAAAAAAAAAAACAAAAAAAAACAGAAAAAGAGAGAGAGAGAGCACGAGAGGACGAGTACGACGAGCGGAGAGAGCAGAAGACGAGGCAGAGCAGAGAGCAGAGAGAGAGCAGACCGAGAGCAGAGAGCAGAGAGAGCGAGAGAGAGAGAGAGAAGAGAGAGATGAGCACGATGAGAGAGAGAGAGAGAGAGAAGCAGAGAGACGAGCAGAGAGCCGAGAGAGAGACGAGAGAGAGAGAGAGAGAGAGAGAGAGAAAGAGCGAGAGGAGAGAGAGAGCCGGAGAGGAGAGAAGATGAGAGAGCGAGAGATGAGACGAAGAGAGAGAGAGAGAGACGAGACGAGAGAAGAGCAGAGAGAGAAGAGAGAGAGACGAGAGAGAGACGAAGAGAGGAGAGAGCGAGAAGAAGATGAGAGAGAGAAGAGAGAGAGAGAGAGAGAGAGAGAGAGAGAGAGAGAGAGAGAGAGAGGAGAGAGAGACGGAGAGACGAGAGAGAGAGAGAGAGCAGAGTAGATGAGAGAGTGCAGAGAGAGAGAGAAGAGAAAGAGAGAGAGAGAGATGAGGACCCAGAAGATGAGAGAGCGAGAGAGAGAGAGAGCAGAGAGAGAGAGAGAGAGAGAGAGAGAGCGAGACGAGAGAGAGAGAGAGCAGAGAGAGAGAAGAGAGAGACCGAGAGACGAGAGAGGCAGAGAGAAGAGAGAGAGAGAGAGAGAGAGAGAGAGAGAGAGAGAGAGAGACGAGAGAGAGAGAGACGCCAGACGAGAGAGAGCAGAGGAGCAGAGAGAGGAGAGAAGAGAGAGAGAAGAGAGAGAGAGGAGGAGAAGAGAGAGAGGACGAAGAGAGCCAGACCGACCGAGAGAGAGAGAGAGAGAGCCGAGGAAGAGAGCGAGAGAGACGAGAGAGATGAGAGAGAGAGAGAGGAGAGAGAGAGAGGAGACGAGAGAGAGAGGAGACGAGCAGACGAGAGGAGAGAGAGACGGAGAGAGCAGAGCGACGAGAGAGAGAGAGAGAGAAGCAAGAGAGAGAGAGACGAGAGAGAGAGAGAGAGAGAGAGAGAGAGTAGACGAGCACTAAACATCCGATTTCGCTTCACGCGGTTCCCGCCTTTAACATGAGACTGTATTTTTCGTACGCGACATTATATAGCCATAGAGACAGGTCTCTCTTTCCACGTACAGTGAGGAGTAGGTGCATCTTGTTTTGTCGTGTAATGTGCAAATGTATAATGTATAATAGCGATGAGTGCGATGAAAACTGAAAGAGCTTCTAGCCTGCGTCGGTACTATACGCTCTCAATTACACGTTTCCCTACCACTTGTTTTTTACTCTTTTCTGCCAGATTCATTAACACTTAGCAGGTCCAATCTGCCTACCCCTCTGTCACAACTTCCCGATCTCATTTGATTATTGCCTACCGGTGCACATCTAATATTTCTGTATCAAATGATATTATTGGGAGAGAGGAGGAGGAGAAAGGTTATCCTTACAGCATGATTAATTGATTATTAACTAAATCAACCTGACCATGTTCTTGGACCTGCATGTTATACGATACAATAACCGTGTAATATTTTGTGTACGTGTATATAGTTGTAGGCAGAGAGATAGGTGTATATTATTGCTTGCTTTCATATTAGACTAAATATTAGCTGCGGTTTCATATTTCCACGTGTGTGAAGTAGGAGTGTAAACATTTTCCTGTTATGTTCCCGTAAGTTATCTCACGTTCATGCATCACTGATTTCTTCTCGTGTTTTTCATGGTTACATATACTATCCATCTTGGAAATCAATTTTAATGTTGAGAGAGATAAAAGTTTGAGGTGATGATATATAATAAATAATGTCAAGTAATTAAATTTATTAACTTCGAAGGACTTCCATGAGATGTGGTTTATTAACTTGTAGGTTCTAATATATAATTGTTTCGACAAATACTGGAGCTAATACTACTAATGGCTAAGCCAATGATATCAGTATGCTATGTGATTCGTATTCAAAGCATCACTCACATGCAGCTAGCCAACGTATGTTTAGTTATTTGTGCGTGCAGATATTTGCCGTTGTATTAGATGTGGGCATTTTCATCCGTCTGTGTTGCTGTGTAGAAAATGTTAGACATTGGAAGTTAGATCTCAACACTAATAACGTGTATACGAACTTGTGTAAAAAATCTTTGTCTATAACTTCTTTTGAATTCATTTCTATTCTCTTTGTTATTTTGAATCTTCGTTTCTGGATGCAAATGTCATCATGGTATACCAACATTCAAAAGTATATACTAAGTTTGTATAAAATACGGTTAATATTCAAGCATGAAGCCGAATCAGGCTGCACTAAGAACATAGTGTCTATCTATAAAAGCAAAAAGAACCAGACGTGCACGCTATGACAGCAAGATAGAATTAATTTCCATCCAATTCATTGGAATGGAAGTTGGCAATGGTAAAATATATTATATCAACCTATCTCAAGAGCGGAGCGCGAGAGAGAGAAAGAGCTAGAGAGATAGATAGCTATATATCATAGAGATAGGGAGATGTCGATAGATAGAGATAGTGAGAGAGGGGGGGAGAGATAGAGAGATGTAGATAGATAGATAGAGAGGAGAGAGAGTGAGTGAGAGAGAGAGAGAGACAGAGATATAGGTAGATGGATAGAGATGAGAGAGAGGGCGAGAGCGAGAGAGAGAGAGATAGAGAGATATGTCGAAAACATTCGAAATCAGATCGGTTTACAGATTGGTCTTTTCTAAATGTGCATTTTAAAGTTTAATGTCACGAAGATATATGGTCTTTAGAGGTCACGCAATCTCTGCCCTATTACCAGATATCTAGACTATGCCTGCATTAGATCTTTAGATCATATACGTTATATTATAGACAGTGATTCTCTATTTGGATGTCAGCATGTGTAGTAGTAGATTTTACTCGATACATATTCTTGAAATAGGCAGTAATCATAAATTCTAAAAACATCTACCTGTCTAAATGTATTTGCCGTGAAGATACTGTGTAACACACTAAGGGTTAAACACGAACACATACAACATATTTTCAAACCATGAAACTTTAATAACAATGCTATCGGTAACACATAATACAAGAACAAGCTGTTTCTGCAATTTTGGTCAACCTGCCCTTGACAACGACTTCACATACTGAGATTCCCAGCCAGTCGATAGCCGATCATGTAGGCACAGACTAATTCAAATGCACAGAACAATGATTGTAATAATTTAATATGGCGAGATAGACACAAGATGGACACAGTAGACTGCTGTAAGAGACTGGAGTAAGGTAAACATCACAATCCCCTTTCAGATGAAGATACATGATTGTTCAGACTCCAGAATAGATGCTATATATACCGCTTCATCTCTCACGTCAGCTAACGTTGCAGTTTCACACATGCATGGCATTATATCGGTCACCTATTTCGAGAGTTACATGGGTGTGGTGCTGCTGCCACGCCACCTATATTTCGGGATACACGGGTATGGCGCCACCTGGCGTTGGACACACAGGAGTGCATTGCTGCCTGTACTGTAAACAGTCTCCTGTACAAGGGACGAGATTTCTATGACTGATGCATCGACGCTCGGCGGTCACTGGCATGTTCAGTGCGTGGCACTTCGCCGATTTGTGTGAAGATAACAGCGACCCTGTACACTGTACTCCATGGTCAACCACGATTGATGCAGTGCTACGATAGTACAGACACGACTCATTACAGCAATCAAACATTTATTCCATCTGCTGTTATTACTGTCTAATATAAGCAACATGGCTGAGGGGGGGGGGGTTACTATCTGTACTCCCATGAACCTATCTATGTCCTTTTATCAATGTCTATTATTAACTCTTAATATATATATATATATATATATATATATATATATATATATATATATATATATATATATATATATATATATACATGAGTTTATAATACTGTAATGTACCTATTCCACGCAGCACAAGCACCAGCATGTACTCCTGATATAATGCACAACTGTCCAAAACTGAAATAATTGAGAGAGAATACAATGCAAAGGTTGCTAATAAGATAAGAGCAAACCAGTAGATGCTAGCAATAAAAACGAAGTGCTGGTCGCCTGTCTGCGCACGATTCTCGCATGGGTAATGCCGTACCTTCGTAATTTACATGTCGGTAACCACACACACCCCGTGTGCTTCCTGTGGGAATGAGAAAAGTCACAGACTTACTTCACCAATATGGGAATTGCCATAGATTGACTTATCTACCTAGCATGATTGACTTGCCTATTTGGCATGATTGACTTGACTGCCTGGCATGACTGACTTGCCTATCTGGCATGATTGACTTGCCTACCTGGCATGATTGACAGGCAGCTCTAGTAAATTAGCATTAGCATAGAGCATTCTAACAACAGTGCTTATCAACGAAGCATTGCAGTCTGCATACATGTGAAGCTGTGTAGAAACCAGGTGAGCTTCACCGACTTCGCAATAATAGCAAAGATGGGCATGGTCGCCTCGCTCAGGCAGACAAGTAAATTAGGAGCAACTAACATGTCACTTTACAAATTACTTAAATGCTTTAAACTATATAAGAATATACTCTTGGAAGAACCTCCACAGTACACCCGAGATAAGTTCACTGACAGACTACAAAACTACTGCTTGTTCATTTGTGACAGCATCCAGAAATAGAATTCGGTGCTACATCCAGATTGAAAATGCTGCTGTGGAAATGCTAATGTTGACAGCCAGCACAACATTGATATTATCAGGAGAACAATAATGAATGGATTATCATTGTTATATCCATATGATCTTACTCCTAATATTGGCACACTAGTATTGTGTAAGAATATGGAAACCACAGAGCGTAGCGACCTGCAACCCACACACATACATCTCGTTACGTGCACTGTCGTTTCCTATAAACTGTCGAGCAACACTGCAGCTGGATTTCCGTTGTGGGTAATAACTTAACAATCACCTGCCCCACTGTTCTCCTACAGATAGCCTTCCTAGATGAAGCCACCTATTGAAGGGGTGAGTATGGTGTAGGAAGAAGGATCCTAGACTGCACTTGCTTCATGAGAGGCACTGTAATGCACACAATACGTTAAAATTCAACATTACAAAATCAACGATTAACTTCACATATAATAGTACGATTCCGAATAATGTACCAATACCAATACGACACCAAACTCGTGGTAATGTATGAAGTCAGTATCACATCACTCAACAGCGCTGTGGCAAATATTTTTGTGCATAATTCGAACTCTGTCAGCTAACGTTATTACGAGCTATCTGCCTATCTGGCTCCTCTCTCCTTTAACTTTCTTTTAGTATTGCTGCCATCGTGAGTCTCGCTCCTCCACTTCATTGTCTCGCATTCTTATGTTCACTCACCAGTGTACTGTACACACTTGTCCCATCCTGGTTTCTGCCAAGCTGCCTCACGCGTCTCTTTCCTAGACTGAAGGTCGTCATAAGCTGCAAGGTGAGAAGATTTCACATGTTGGACCATTTCAGGATATTGTTCTAACAAACCCAGATCTTCAGCATGCAGGGCGCCAATGGTGTAACACACACGCACGCACGCACGCACGCACGCACATGCATGGGTACAAACACGCACACATGCACCCACTATACGCTCACCCCACAGATGATGCACATTGTGGATAACTCCAATATTGGTGAAGAATCCAGCGACTGGTTCGTTGTTGGCCTGCCTACTCTCGAGGCCCCGGGACCAGCTGTGGGCCCATTCGATCATCGTTCCTGCCTGCAAAACACAGAGCTTGGTCAGAAAGGAAGGGAAGTCGGGGGAACACAGGGCACCTATGGTGCAGATCGCCCCAGTTCCCATCATTCTGCCTAATCTATTGATTTAACTTTCTCATTCATTCTTTATTACAGATTCAATGCCATCTCATAGATGTCTACAATATACACATCATACATATAAATATTACCAGAAGTCCATCACAACTGCATTATGGTAGATTTTAGATTTTATTACAGGGGTGTATATGTGCACACTCACCTTCAACATGTAGCTCCTTAGTTCGTAGATATGCTTAGGTGGACGCGGTTCAGGCTTGGGCCAGAAGGTAAACTCCAGGAGCAGCTGATTGCTCCTGCTCCTCAGCAACTTTCGCAAAGTCTCCATGAAACACAAAGAAACACGTAACTTCACTATAGATGGACACCATACACACTTGTAGTGCTTAAAAGCTACCATTTATATAATTTCAAATAAGGGGTGCCATCTTTAAATCACACTGCATTTGGAATTCATGGGTTGAAACATTACATTTTAAACTTGAGATTTCATTAGATTACCTTGGTTTGTTCAACATAAACCGCGTCACTTCTGATGATCGCTTGCGCCTGGCTGACCCCTTCAAAGCCATGATTGTGTACCCAGAGATGCACTGCAAGAAGAATGAAGAAGAAGTTAAATTATTCTAAGTGTCAACATGGTGTTATCTATTTTTCTATAATGACTCGGTTGATTTTTACTTTTGGGTTAATTCAGAATCCTGACAATGTTCATGGCATTTCAAGGTGTCAGATAAATGCTGATTACCTACCAAATTCATCCTCATCTCCGACCATGGTTGACCAGCTACCCAGTAGTTCACAATTTAAGTCATTCCTCTCTTTCACAGTTTCCACAAACTTCTGACTGCAATTTAGGAACAACATGTAAAATGTAAATTTATTTTCAGTATCACATCAGCACACAACAATGGTCATTTAGTATTAGGTAAAGAATACACTTTGCAAACATTTTCAATTAGATGACATTTACTTACTGAAATCCCATATATTCCTCTATCCGCTCAGGCCGTGTGAGATGGTCTGTGTAAAACAATGTTTAATAGCACAATAATAAGAACAGCAACTTCTCAATAAAAACCATTATATACAAGGTATTGCTCACATCTCATTGCACAGTACCTCAAACCTGCAACTTACAACCGAATTCAACCAGAAACGAGGTTTACTAGATGTCTCTTTGAAATTCTAATTTCAAAATTCAACTGCTGCAGTGACGTAAGAGACTAATCATAATTGTGTATCATGCCATGGTAATAGATACGTGACGTACATTGCAATTCAAACACATGTTCCTTATCAGCCAACACAGCGGATGCTTGCTCTTTCTTCGAGTCAACCTTAGAGAAGTCAAATAGCTTACGTAGAGCGAATGACGAAGGACTAGTGGCAATGTGCCTGCAAAGAAATTAAATGGCGAGTCAAAACGCAAGTTGAAAAAGAAATGATGAACATCATAGACATTTACACATGTAGCAAGCAGGGTATGTTGGAAGGCCTGGGGCCCGTTGTCAGAAACACAAAATGGTCTTAACATTAGTCTTAACATTAACTTTTTCTCTTAGACCGTTGACAGAAACGCTGCGAAGTTACGAATGAAAAATCGTAGCAGATTTCCTCATAACAATTCGAAACAAAGTGACGTTGACGGTCTAGGAAAAATTGTTAATGTTAAGACTAATGTTAAGACAAATTTTGTTTCTGACAATGGGCCCCAGGCGTCTAGGATGCAGCATGTAGCAGGCTTCATGAATCCCCACCTACAGCAGCATTCAGTGATGTCCCGATGATCGATTATAATCGAAAGTCAGTCATTTGCAGCAACCGACTAAGCGCTCGATTATGAAAATCAATAATCGATTATCAAACAAAAATTAAAATTAAATTTACAAACATTGATGAAATGACTCTTTATTTTATTTGTGTTTTTTTTGGCTACTTCACAGCTTTGAGACAGTAAATCTAACCTATACCAAACATAAGTAAGTATAATATTGTTAGATAGCTGTTAGAATATTGTATTATAAAAAATACTGCATTATATGATAGATGATATATTTCAATATCTGGTAGCAGCAATCAATAACGTTCAACCGATTATCTTCGATCATCGATCAGTTGGGTAAAACCGATGATCGATGATGAAATTCCAACTGATTCCCATCACTAGCGGCATTGAGCTGCAGGTGCGGGATTAGCTCTAGAACTATATATAGCCCTTCACTCTGCCCTTCGCAGCGTGAAAGGACCTGTAGAAATAGAATCTACATAGAAATGTAACGTTAACATAACGTGAGACTATATTTTGCTACATTTTTTCGGATCGAGCGCTTCTGAGCAAGAATATCGAAAATATTCCTTTAAACAGTGAATAAGGCAAGCTAAACTATTTAATAAAGCACATGTATGCATGTAGTTACTTCTAAATTTAATTCTTTCTTTTACTTCATGAACTTCATCTCAGTATCACGTAAATATCCTCAGCTGTCATAGAAATCTAGGTCAATATTATATGTGGTTCGCTAGTAGTAGTTGCATTGCCAGTGTTACCGCAAAACAATAAAGAGTGCTGAATGACTGGTGTGTGTCATTTCCGCGCACGTACTGTAGCAGATGGGATCGTTGTCGTATCAGGTACAACAGATATGTACCCGAGGTAGTTTTAGGTTGTTTAGTATTATGTTTATATTTTTATATGAGGTATGTTTAGGGTTAGGGTTAGGGTTAGGATTAGGGTTAGGGTTAGAATTAGGATTAGGGTACACTTCTGTAGTACAAGTCTGGTACACTTTGTGTATACATATATGTACCTCGGGTAAATATCTGTAGTACCTGATATACGACAACGACACCTTGAGCCGTTCTGTAGCGCTGTGTATGGTACCGGTATGCACGTGAGTGGAGCTGTTGATTGTAGGAGCGTCTAGAGTAGTACACTGTCACTAAAGCTGTGGACATACTACGCGATTTTTCATGCGATCGAGCCGGCAGCCGGCTCGACGTGATGCGGCCATGATACCGAGGCTCGCCGAGGATTGACACTTTGTGTCTTCCAATCACAGTCTACGCCGCCCCCTTATCTTCTAAATTTTTGAGTACAATACCATTCGGACACGGAATCGCCGATCTCAGGAACTAGGGCATTCTGCTAGGCTAGAACGGTTTCATACGATAGAGTTTGGCACAAATACGAATATAACACGCTGTTTTGCGCACAGTGCTAAGTTCTTTTCTTTCATTTTCCCATATCTGTAGGCACGATAAGCCCCGCCTTATTTGTTGATTGGCATGAATGGGGCGTCAACGACGTGAGCTGACTCTTGTACCTACTGCAAGCCCGTTGACTTTTCGTAAATAATGAAATGACCGGCCGATGCATTTCGCATCGAAGAGAAAAAATTCCTACATTTTCACTCGCTGTCGCAAGTCAACGAGCGCGTCATTCAGTAAACATTTTCGGCAAAAAAACTCGCTTCGGGAGCATGCAATGTTTACATGTCACAGCGCCATCTCTTGGATCATTTTGGATATCCTGCAACATGTTTACTTCTTCCTTAGTTAAGTTAGTCCATGTTTCACTGTTATTTAGGAAGAAAGGTAAAATTGTGTATTCGCATAATTTCACTCTTAATTGCTTCTATAGTATGATTTCCACAATTTTGCTCATTTGCCCATAATAATTATTTCATTTAATAATAATTT